CTTCACCTAACCTTCCTCAAAATATTGGCAAAAATATTTTTAGTTTTCAATAATGAAGAGAGGGTGTATGTGTGTGTATTTATAAACATCGAAACGGCTTAACCGAACAGATTGTTGGTACAGTTTTAAAGAAATGCACTAGGGATGGGTCATGACCGGTCAGAGTTTTGATATTTTAATACGCATTACGCAACCAAATAAAGGAAATGAGTTTTTGTCACAAACTCAGATGTGTTAAACCCAAAATCTCTGCAACTGGATAGTGTAAAACTTTGATAATTCAAACTCAAATTATTTGATCTACCAGAATTCATAGTTTGAAATATCTAAGGTCTACGACATTGGGTTGCAAAGTTATAACGATAGGAAAATTTTAGTTTGTGGCAAAGACTCAATTCCTTTACTTTTCTCAATATCAAACTTTGATCTAAAACCAGGGGAGCTACGAGGGTACAAAGTAATCCCAGAAAATGATATTTTTCCTTATTTCGATAAGCTGTTTATGTTTTCTACATCAAACAAGGATTAAGTGTATTATTAACTATTTGGGGCATCTTGAATTTTGTTTTTGTTAGGATCCAATTAACTACAGTGAATCCTAGATATATGAATACATAGCAAGAGTTTTATAATGTCGTATTTCTTCAGAATTTTCAAAAAACTTATGACGGTCTATGTATTCATATATCTGGGATTCACTGTATATAATGAATCTTATCAAAAATACTCAAACGTTTCAAAAGGGGCTGATTACTCGCCTCGAACTCTATAGTTTTCTACACCTTATATCTTTGCAGCCTGCTGATGGATTTCTTTAATGTTTAAACTTATTAATTCTGGCATCTGAAATATGTCAAAGTTTCATGGATTATTGTCGAGTTTGAGTTTTTTTTTCGATTTGATAAAATATGATTTTTTTGTATGACATAATATGATTGTAGAACATCATATAATTTCTTATAATATTTTTTGATGATTTAATGTTTTATGAATATGATTGAATTTGGTATGATTTAATATAATTTCATTTGATTTAAAATGATTTTCTTTGATTAGATTTGATTTGAATCTGATTTTATTTGTTGATTTGATTTGATTTGATATGGATAAGAGTTCAATTTATTTCAGCATAAAGAACTTTTGCCATTTTTTTCTTTAGTTTAATCTGAACAATTTATTTCCAATTGATTCGATTTTATCATTACTATAAATAGGTGGACAGTTAAATAAATATTTAATTCAGAAAAAAATTGGTTTAAGAAAATTACAGCAAGAACCAGAAAACTGTGGAATAGGAAGACGACATTAAAGTAATACTAAAGTGTATTTGAAATTGTTAATAAGTTAGTAAAAGTTTTAACTAACTTACTAAATCACTTATTAAGTTTAATTGACCTGTTTACAAAGCACAATTGTTGTGGCTCATTATAGCTCTGTTCACTTTAAAATTTTCATATTCAAGGCTACAAAAAAGTATTAAATGGCGGAAAGGTCAGATTAAGCTGGGTCAGATAAGTGCAATGTAAAGAAAATGCAGGCATTACACAATTTAGAATTTAAAATAAGTTTTTCTTAAGGGGTATAGGCTGAAACCTGACAATGATACTGCACTGCTATTGGTGGAAGTTCTGGTCACGTGATACGGACGTAATAATTATATTATCAATTATAATTATATAATTATAATTATATTATCAAAAATGAAAAATGATTAAATTCAAATAATAAAATTCTGCAGGGATTTTATAGTTGTTTTCAGATTGGTTTCGTATTTGCTGAATATGAATATAGATATGAATATGAATATGAATATGAATATAGATTCCTACGTTTCTTTATACAATTAAAGGGAGTGACCGGCAATGTATGGTGGTTGAACTGAACATGTAGTATTGTGGACAAATTTATGATGATAAATGTATAGAGTACAGTTTAAAATGATAACTGTACGTATATGTACAGTTTAGAACTATTATTGATTTTAAGATGATAAATGTATAGAGTACAGTTTAAAAAAATTTTCGTATAAATTTGACACAGTTGTATACCAATTTCTTGAGACTGGAACATCAGATAGAACTCTTGTGGGTCTCGATCAACTCCTAAAATGCTTAGGTTTCGGCCATATACCCCCTTTAATTATTTCTTTACAGTCCCTTTAAAAAAAATTATTTGAAGCCAATGAAAAACAAATTAAGATCAACTCATCCCCTATTTTTAGGATGAGTAACCAATAATTTTCAACAAAACTTCCTCTTCAGCTCTCAGAAGAAGCTAAGTTGAAGACGACCTTCAGAATTATCTAAACTTCTTGTGATTTTTACATTTTTTAATTTTTTTTATCGATTTGATGGTTATTATATCGTTAGAACTGACGAGGGTTAACCCAGACCGAAATATATTTTCAATAAATGTGGAACTAACATCTACTTTTTTACTCTACAGAGGTTTGGTCCATCACCATCACTGAATTTTAAATCTAAACTTACGTTATTTGATATCTCTGATATCGAGTTGAATAACTAGTTTTTTGAAACATGCACTGTCACCCACAAACTATAAGACTTCAGAGACGACTATACGGAATTTATTTTGTCTTTTTCCTTAGATTCATGATTCCCTGCAATTCTTTAAAATTGTTGCTTTCTTTGGCCAGTCGTTGAAAAGGCCAGAAAAAGACATTATTTAAGGCAGAAGACTTTTTTAATACTCTTTTTCAGGTCGTCTTTGCAGTCTCATTCTTCACGGATAACCTTGTATATTAGTTTATTAGATTATTTTTTTTTGGGGGGGGGGTGAGGTCTCAGGTTCGTTTTAACCCTAAACAGTTTTTTTTGTCCTAGCACTCTCATTTTTGACACTATCACCGTGAAATTTTGTGACTTTTAATGAATATTAATTTAAAGGATTTTTTGTTAAAAAAATATTTTTTTTAATTCACGGGGTAGGATAGAGGCGGAAAAAAGTCCGGTCTGTGAAAAAAAATCTAAAATAGCCCATAACTTTTTTGTGACAAAAAGCTACAGATCTAATAACTATATTTTTGAAAAGCCCTTGAAAAATGCATGAAGAAACATGTGTCACACTTAGATATTTGTTTACAACCCAAAAAAAATATTTTTTTATTTTTTTTACCCTTTTTTAGGCATTTATTTCAGCCCTCCTAGCACCTAAACTTTTAAAGTTATCGGTCTAATTTTTTTTCTGCGAGCTGGCCATTGGGCTATGAACATGCATTTCAACTTTATACCTATTCTCTAAGGCCTTTTTCTAGGGGGGGGGCGCCAAACACCCCCCCCCCCCCAGGCTATTCATGGTTGACTGTTGCCCTGAACGAGGCTATTCATAGATTCCGACCCCCTAGCCTTAGGGTTAAAGGAACTGTATAAAGAAAAATCACTAAATCACAATGTGGAAAAAATGTTTATCAAAATATGTTTCACAAATTAAATGTGAAAACTTCAGAATTCAGGCAGCAAAGTTTACTTTTCCACAAAGTTCACTCCTTGTATTTAATGAACGATCCTCAACAGGATTTTAATGATCAAGAACTTCTTCAAACTCTGGCTGAGATCAATGATATTACAAGACAAAATATGCTTTCCAGTGTTCTTATTTGTGGTGATCTAAACTGTGACTTTAGAAGAAATACTCAGTTTGTGAACTCAATTTCAGGTTTTGTGAATCTATAAATCTAAATTATCAAGTGATATGGAACCAAGCTCATACTAATCAGAATATTCAAGAAATTGATTATACTTATTTAAATACGATAAATGGGATCACTCATTGCTCCACAATAGATCACTCATTGCTCCACAATAGATCACTTTATTTCAAATGAAACCTTTTATAATTCTATAACAGAGGCTGGTAAAGTGCAATGTCCTTACAATACGTCAAACCATCATCCAATATTCTGTAAATTCAATGTAGACAATCTAAATCGTAGTTTTATAAGTGAGATACCTGCTTCAAACCCAAGTTGGAGAAAAGCAAATAAAGCTGAAAAAAATGAGTTTAAAAACTATCTTGATATTAAACTTCAAGAAATCAACATTCCCGTGAACTGTGAAAATTGTAAAAAAAATGCATTGCAGTTTACATTCTGATGAGATTGAAGATTATTCTATGAAAATTTGTAAATCCATAGAGTTTACCGTTTACAATCATAGACAAAATAGAAAAAGAACTATGCCAGGATGGAAGGAGTTTGTGCGAATATATATTCATTTTGTCCATTCTCACCATGAGACACAAAACAAATGTGTTGTTAGAAAAGTAGTGTGACAAAACCAATCACCCTCCTGACATACTTTCTACAGTGTTTGAATTATGAAGTTTCGATCAATCCCTAATTAATTCTCGCCTGAAGAAGGCACACGCCCGGGTCCTCAGGCGCTTTTTAGGAAAATAAAAACTTGCCAAGACGGGGGCAATGCTCCTTGTGCCCCACTTTACACTACAGATGAGCTCAATCTTTCTTTTAGTTTCTTCTCTGTGTTTTTGCGAACCCGGAGCAACTCTGAGTTTTCAAACCTAAGGTCATCGAACTTTTTATCTCTCCCCTTTTTCTATTTAAAATTTTGTTGTTAACCCCAACTGAAGATAGTACTTATCTCTGTAAAAAAAATAAACTTGATACAGCAATATTATTGCATAATATAAAGGGCATAGCACCGGAATATATATTTTATATATATATATATAAATCGAGCTAGGCAGTCTTAGGCCTCCACCATCCGTCTACCTCAAAATATATCTATCTCTCTTCCTAACTCACATTACAATCAGCTGTTTAGAGAGTCCTGCGGGTTCAGTTCTTAAGACTAATTTTTGTCATGGATAAAGAATCATCAGATATTGATATATAAACTGTTTCAAGACAGTATCTTGGGTTAAAATAAAAAATATATTTTTCTCTCGTTATATTCCTTCCTACTCTAGGCTGTCTTTTCTCTCTCTCTTAGTTTCTCTCTCTCTCTATCTATCTATCTATCTTGTTTATTTTTGACACAGAAACCCTAGAGTTTCTCAAATCTCTGATCAGTTCACAGGAGCACCCTGAGCAAAGGATTGACAAAGAAGAACCCAAAGGTTGAGAGAAGAGGGATAAAGATGAACCCAGGATAGTTTCTAGACTGGAGAAGCAGGAAGAAATCTGTTGAAAGTGTAGAACAGAGTTTTCTTCCGAGTTTCTTTGTTGTTACGCAGTTAACATTAACCTGAGTCTTTGTTCCTTCCTGGTATGAAGAACACCTAAAGAATTTTACTCCGAACCCATCCAACCTCCAGTCTAAGTGATATCTAAATAGAATATGGAAAAATGGAAAACAAACATCTATCTCATCCAGTATTAAAATCAACCCGGACCAAATAAATATAAAAATTTAGGGAGAAAACCGAACAGCTGTTTTTTTTCAGTCAAATTTTTTTACAAATTTCTCTAAATACTGTGAAGAAGAACTGAAATGAGAATGTGGAAGCGAATACCTAAAGTAAAATATTTTCTCCCAAACTAAACTGTCTCTGAATCCTGAAACAAAGAAGGAGAGAAACAAAGCAAGTATGGTTCGGCAGCAGAACGGGGTTGAGATGAACGGGCATGGACGGAAAACTAAAACTCCGGATATAGCTTTGGCTCCGATCAGGTTGGAGAAACAAATATTTTATTTTCAATTGTTTAAATTATTTTCAATTAGCAATTATTAATTTAGCTCAAAAAAGCTTATAGATTTTAAATAAATTTATGAGTGGGATGCAAAGCTAAAATAACAATTTTTTGTTTTGTTTTTAGAGGTTATTAGGAGGTTTTAAAAACAAACAACATTTAAAAAAAAAAAAAAAATAATGTCTATATAAGACTATAAAATATATATAAAATTCGGTGATGGTGATGGACCAAACCTCTGTAGAGTAAAAAAAGTAGATGTTAGTTCCACATTTATTAAAAATATATTTCGGTCTGGGTTGACCCTCGTTAGTTCTTGAGATTGTTTCTGTCAGGAAGATTATATCTCGAATATATATATATATATATATATAATGTTTAAAAGATAATGTTTATATAGACTATTAAACATATATCCATATATAACATATATATATATAATGTTTAAAAGATAATGTTCATATAGTCTATTAAATATATTTAGATCTAACATATAATGTTTGAAGATAATTTTTATAAAGACCAACTAGATTACCAAGTACAATAGGTGGCAACAGAGAAACGGACCAATTATACACGACGTCACAAGTGTCAAATATAACAAGGAAAACGAAATTGTCTCACATTAGTTGACATGTTTTCCAAGATTAAATGAAAAAGTGTAAAAACAGAAAATAAGGAACACATAAAATTGCAATTATTCTACTGTAAGATAATCACTTTATTTTAAAATGATCACAATCTATATATAAATTTGGCTTGTCTGTCTGTTTGTCTGTCTGTCTGTCTGTCTGCCTGTTTGTATCCAATAAACGTCAAAACGGCTGAACCGATCGGGCCCAAATTTTTTGTGGGACATCTAAGGACCCCAGGGAAGGTTTATGAATGATTGAAATTTCAAATATTTGTCTCCATAAAAATTCAATCTTCATTAAATTTTTTAAAATTTTGAAAATCCACGAAATTTTTTGTGAAAATCCGCGAATTATTTTTGTTTTGTTTTACGATGTAAACAAAGAGAACATATGTTCACAATTAATTTAGAAGATGGGCGCGAAGCGCCCTCTAAGGCTAGTTATTGATAATTCTGTCGGACACATAAGACACTTGTGACGTAAGAATACAGCTGTACTTAGAGTGTACCAATTCTACGTTGCCATCTATTGTACAAGACTCTATTTGATGTAGACTATTACATATATCTATATCTAACATATAGATATAAGGTTTTAAAAAGGATGTTTATATAGACTATCATCAAATATATCTATATCTAACTTATCTAACATATAGATATAATGGTTTAAAAAGGATGTTTATATAGACTATCATCAAATATATCTATATCTAACTTGTAGATATAATGTTTAAAAGATATATCATTATGATACAATGTTTTAAAATAATTTTCCGGGTTTTTAGTTAAACATTTTTTAAGATTTCAGAAAAGAAACAACTTGTATCAAACTGAAATAGTCCAATCCAAAATCATTCCAACCTCTTAATATAACTCTTTAATATTTAAAACTTTGACTGAAATATCAAACATCAGACCACAACACTCCAGTTTGCCGAGTCCATTAGCACCTGATCCAATCAGGGTTCAGCCATATGTTTGATGTCTATTCTGAACCAATAGAAATTGCATGGCGGTAACATTTATCTTTCTTTATATCTCATTATCCAATTAAAGTTAAATCCTTATATCGGCGCTATAACAGTAAATGGAAATATCTACTTCTGCTGCAACAATTGTGACAACGATACAAGGATTAGAACATTAAAGGTTGAGTCAAGTATTGAGTTCCTGTGGGTCTGGTCAGGTGACCTAGCTGTTTCTAAGTTTATCAGTAGCTTTAGATTAATATGTATAGTTTAAACGGCAGCTGTTGTATGCTGTTAAAAGAGAGCAAAGACTGTAGAATTCATGAACGGAATGTTTTCAGGAATGGTTCCTCCTCTAGTAACGGTCATCCCTCCTCCTCCTCCTCCACCTGGAAAATGTCCCGAGTATTCTCCGAGTCGGATGAATCATTGATTAACAGAAAACTGCCAAAGGAACTTCTACTTCGGATCTTCTCCTGGTTGGATATAGTTGCATTATGCCGCTGTGCTCAGGTATACCTGGAGACAAAAGAGAATAGATAATTACCATTAGACAGAAAGTTGACACTCTGGATACTCACATGGCTCCAATCGTTGAATGATCCGAACCGGTGGAAGAACCTACCGGTAGTGTAAATAAACTGTTTATGCATTCAATCGTACCGATCAGTTTGGACTATCCAGAGTAAAATAGACGTTTTATGCAACAAATGTAGACATGGCAAGTTTATATGTGCACTTTACACTAGAAACTATAGAAATTAGACACGAGACACGATGGCAAAGACAATAGACACTAGACAATAAACACAAGAGAGGCTAAAAAAAACCATAAGACATGAAATTCTAGACACAATAATTTAGGTACTAGAGAGTAAACGCTTGATAAATAATGTTTTTTATCAAGGTTTCAAAATCCTGGAATGTTCTAGCTCTGGATGGGTCCAATTGGCAGAAAGTGGATTTCTTTGAGTTTCAGGTACATAACCATGAACATAAGTAATAAATATTTGAACTAGAGAGTATTGAATCTCTAAACCAGAGAGTATTAAATCTCTAAACCAGACAGTAGTTAATCTCTAAACCAGAGAGTATTGAATCTCTAAACCAGAGAGTATTTAATCTCTAACAATAGAGTATTAAATCTCTAAACCAGAGAGTAGTTAATATCTAAACCAGAGAGTAATGAATTCTAACTCAAGGAGTATTGAATCTCTAAACCAGAGAGTAATAATCTCTTAAGCTGAAGAGTATTGAATCTCTAAACCAGAGAGTATTGAATCTCTAAACCAGAGAGTATAATCTCTTAAGCTGAAGAAAACCAGAGAGTATTGAATCTCTAAACCAGAGAGTATTGAATCTCTAAACCAGAGAGTATTGAATCTCTAAACCAGAGAGTGTAGTATCACTAAACAAACAAGTATTCCAACGAACTACTGTTAAACATTAAAATGTTTTTGATCCCCGAAGTTGAAGGATGATCTTTGTATCTCCAGGTTGACGTTGATAGCGGAGTAGTTGAGAATCTAGCCCGGAGATGCGGAGGTTTCTTGAAGAATCTTAGTTTATCAGGATGCCAGGTAAAACCTAGAAAATCTAGGGAAGAATATTTTAAATTTCCAATTTTAAAATTTCTTATTTATAAAGTGTTTTGTTTTTAAGATTAAGTACAGTATGACGTCGCGTATTGAATGATAATTTTATACTGATTGACGACGTTTTTTGTTTAAACAAATCATTTTTAGGAACGGCTTTGCCAATTTTAGATTTTTACTTAGACTCATGTCTCAAAGATACTTCTAAACCGGAATTAAATACAAAACGGAAATGATTTTACTTGTTTAAGTCAGAGAAAAAACTTTCTGGATTTTAGTTTAAACATTTTTTCATTATAGGGACTGTTGGTGAATTTTAATTAGCCTCTTGAAAACTAGTACTATGTTTACAGTGTACAATGTACATATAGACTAAGGGACAGTACACTGCAAGCGAATCAGCTTATTTTTGTAGGATTAATGTGATTGACACCCCGCCTTCTCTATTGAATTAAAGCAGCGTGTTCTACACTCCGCCTTCTCTTTTACATTATAGCAGCGTGTTCTACACCCCGCCTTCTTTATTTCATTAAAGTAGCGTGTTCTACACCCCACCCCGCCTTCTCTATTTAATTAAAGCAGAGTGTTCTACACCCCGCTATCTCTATTAAATTAAAGCATCGTGCTCTACATCCCGCCTTCTCTATTACATTATAGCAGCGTGTTCGTCACCCCGCTTTTTCTATTAAATTAAAGCAGCGTGCTCTACACTTCACCTTCTCTATTTCATTAAAGCAGCGTGTTCTACACCCCGCCTTCTCTATTAAATTAAAGCAGAGTGTTCTACACCCCGCCTTCTCTATTAAATTAAAGCAGAGTGTTCTACACCCAGCCTTCTCTATTTCATTAAAGCAGAGTGTTCTACTACACCCCGCCTNAATTAAAGCAGCGTGTTCTACACCCCGCCTTCTCTATTTCATTAAAGCAGAGTGTTCTACACCCTGCCTTCTCTATTTCATTAAAGCAGCGTGTTCTACACCCCGCCTTCTCTATTAAATTATAGCAGAGTGTTCTAGGCTGTTGGTGACTCTGCTCTCTCGACGTTTGCCCAGCACTGTAATAATATTGAGAAATTAGATTTACAATCCTGTAAGAGGTTGACCGATAGAACCTGCCAGTCTCTAGCCAGACATTGTCCTAAACTTCAGGTATCTATCTGTCTATCTGCCTTCTTTGTCTATCTGTCTATCTGTTTACATATTTGTCGGGTCTTTCTCTCTTTCTATCTATCTATATATCAATATATCAATCTATCTATGTATCTATCTATCTGTCTATCTATCTATGTATCTATCTATCTATCTATCTATCTATCTATCTATCTACATATATATAATGAATCTTTGTTTTATTTGTATTGTATAGGGGTCAAGGTGTTATAACATATTTTTTAACTCTATTGATTGATTAAAAGATTAATTGATTAATTGTTTGATTGATTGATTTCTGTAGGTTCTGGACATATCTTCGTGTCCTCCTATAACAGACCAAAGCCTGAAAGCTCTAGGACACTCTTGTCCCATGGTAAATTTCTTAAAATTATTTTAAAAATAAAAATATTATTTTAGTATAAACTTGTCCGTCCAGATTTGTCCTTGAGACGTTCAATACAGAAAAAAAATCCTGAATTGCAAAAACTTTAATTTTTCCTCTTCATTCAATTAAATTGAATATGTAAAAATATTTTTATGACATTTAGCCATTTTAAAGAGATTCTTTTAACGGAAATAGTTAAAAGGACTTAATTTCTCGTATAAAGTATAAATTAAAATATTTTATCAAATAAATAAAATAATAAAATGTGAATCTGATGTTATTCTTTGAAAAGAGGATAATTAATAATTTAGTCAGCAGTTTCTTAAATGTTGTTATTAAACAAGTTGACGAGTATAAATATCTCCTGGTGTGATCTGATAACTGTAAACGGAGTTAGAGTTCTAACAGAGGGATGCGCAAACCTTAAAATATTTATTGCCAAGGTGATTTTTCTATTAAATAATAATAATAATAATAATATTAATGCATGATAATCATAATAATAATAATAATAATAATAATAATAATATTAATGCATGATAATCATAATAATAACCTTAGTATTTGCACATGAAAATCATACTTTCCCGCTATAATTGTATTTGAGAATTAATATGTACTTTATTTATTACGGAATTGTTTCGTATTACGTAATTTCGCGTAATTACGCATTGATTACGCGAAACTAGACTTTCTTTCGTAAACGTAATAAACGCATAATTACGCGTAATGTTCCTGCGTAAGTGAAAGAAAGTGTTACGCATAATTACGCGTAATTACGCGTAACGTAATTACGACTGGAAACCCTAATGAAAATATTATAGTTTTTCGGAAATTGATAGCTTTTATTTTTGTGCATGCTCTGTTCTGCTATCTTCTGGTTATCTATTGTATATATATTTAGGTTTAGTTTAAACCCTGCTCTGCTATCTCCTGGTTATCTATAGTTTATATATCTAGGTTTAGTTTAAACCCTGCTCTGCTATCTCCTGGTTATCTATAGTTTATATATCTAGGTTTAGTTTAAACCCTGCTCTGTTATCTCCTGGTTATCTATAGTTTATATATATCTAGGTTTAGTTTAAACCCTGCTCTGCTATCTCCTGGTTATCTATAGTTTTTATAATTAGGTTTAGTTTAAACTCTGCTCTGCTCTGCAATATCTTCTGGTTATCTATAGTTTTGTTGACGGAAAACAGCAACACGCTAGACAAATCAGGATAATAGGCCGGTTAGGATTCTGGTGGGGGATGTTTATTATCCCCAGACAATTCTTTCCCGATAGGCCGCACAAATACACACAACAGAGTAACCCCGTCTCAGAAATTCGATAACAAAATCTTTATATCCTANTGGTTATCTATAGTTTATATATATCTAGGTTTAGTTTAAACCCTGCTCTGCTATCTCCTGATTATCTATAGTTTATATATCTAGGTTTAGTTTAAACCCTGCTCTGCTATTTCCTGGTTATCTATAGTTTATATATCTAGGTTTAGTTTAAACCCTGCTCTGCAAGAATATCATCTGGTTATCTATAGTTTATATATCCAGGTTTAGTTTAAACCCTGCTCTGCTAGGCTATCTCCTGGTGATCTATAGTTTATATATCTAGGGTTGTGTAAGCCTAGGAGATGAAGCACTGTTTAATATTGCAAGATTTTGTCCAGAAATAGAACTCCTTAATCTTCAAGGATGCAGAAATATCCAGGTACTTACTAGGACACTAGTACTCTATAAGTCACTTAATCCTACTGGCTGGATCTCAAGTTTGACAAATTTTGCCAAACAAATTTCGACATTTTTCATTTTTGAAAATGCGCCAATTTAAACAGATAATTTCGATAAACATTATTGGCGACTTGAAGAGCAAATCTCAAAATCCTCGGCAACTGTTTCTAATCAAAGTACCTAATAATGACGATATTTATCCCGCTTATTACTGGTTCTCACTGTATGAAACTCTAGGACGAGGGTATGCTCGAGATTGCTGAAAGATGCAGTAAACTGAAATATCTCTGTATCTCTAACTGTTCTCATGTAACTGACCAAACCTTGCTCTCCCTGGCCATCCATTGTCCAAACCTAGTCACGCTAGAGTGTGCAGGACTTTCTCAACTCACAGATGCGGGGTTTCAGGTATTATAACAAAATTTGAGAAAATTTTATCTTTTTGTTCTGCATATCGAACATTTTTTTAGAGTTTGTGATCTGAATGTTTCGGCTAACTCAGAACTCAGTATTCTCTAAGATTTCTGATAGAATTATCTCTTTTTATATGAATGAAATCATATTTCACAGCGGAACCCATAAAACCGTAGACCAGAAAGACGACATTCAAGCACTTTTATGTGTATTTGATGTTGTTTAAAAGCAAATAGTTTTACCATTATAATAGCTTGCAAATAAACTTCTAAAGTAAAATGGGTCGTTTTATACTGCAAAGTGGAAAACTTTTGTGTTTTTATGTTGATAATTGGCTGGACTGTTTGAAATCATAACTTGAGTCAAGACGGGTCCAATTGTAAAAACTGCAATTATTTTTTTTAGGTTTTTTAACTTTTAAAATGAATGTTTATTGATACTCACTTTTAATCCAGTTTTGTTGGTTCAGGCACTAGCTAGATCTTGCCACTACCTGGAGAGAATGGATCTAGAAGAATGTATCCTGATCACAGATGCATCTGTCTCCCAGTTAGCAGCATACTGTCCATCCTTGGAATCCCTCTCCCTCTCCCACTGTGAGCTGATTACAGACGACAGTATCCGACATCTTGGTTCCTCACCCTGCTCCAGTGAAACCCTAACCGTCCTAGAGCTTGATAATTGTCCTCTGATCACGGACCAGTCCCTGGACCATTTAATGAACTGTCATAATCTACAGAGAATAGAGTTGTATGATTGTCAGCTGATTACACGCGCAGGAATCCGTAGATTGAGAAACCATCTACCCAACGTCAAGGTTCACGCCTACTTTGCTCCGGTAACGCCCCCTCCCTCCTCCGGAGGAACACGGCAACGGTTTTGTAGATGTTGTGTCCTTCTCTAATTTTTCCTAAATTCATCCATGGATGTATAAATGAACAGATCTAGTTGAATAAGTTTTCGTTCATTTGGTTTGGTTTGGTTCAGATTACGTAGATTTAAAACGAGTCTTGAGGCGAAAACGTTTTATATAACAAAGACACGAAACAAGAGCTGCCCTGCAAACATTTAGTCTCCGACGAACCGATCGCGAACATATAAAGTCCATAATGTCTATAAAAAGGTTTCCTGAGATGGTTACTTTGAAAGCTTTTTTTCTTCATTGTAGACTTGATCAAATTAAGAATAACTTATTTGATAAAAATCTGTATATTTATGCATCACAGACCTGTATAGCAGATTAGCCTTCTTGAATATATGAGTGGATTATCCACTTACAGCAAATGTAGACGTAATTCAACCATCATTCTGTAGTGTGACATGTTAGAACAGCGGTAACCTTTAAAACGTTGTCTGATTATTGAAGGTGGAGAAATCCGTGTTGTGTGTGCTAAAAAATGTTTGCATGAAACGGAGGTGTACACTGTACGGTGTAAGTGTAAAGTGTACACAGTACAATGTACAATGTATTCAATATGTCTATATTTCTTAAGTTCGAATGAAAATATCTGTTTTCTGTGACTCCTGGAAAGTAGATGATAATATCTCATGAAAATCAAACTTAACTTGCATAAATGTTATCAACAATGACAAGCGTTTCTGCTGAAAGGATAAGCAGAACTCTGTCATCCTTGATCAGCTAAAGGTTTAAAGGGTACCGTTGTGAATCGACCACGCCACTCTACAAATGGGGGGTTAATCTAAAATTACGTCTAGAGTTTTTAAAACTTCTGATACGCAAGTATTTGCATCTGAATCCGTGTTTACGCTTTAACAATTCTCAGTCGATGTGTAGGGATTAACTATTGAACGCATTCGTTAGACAAATTCATTCTTTTATCTCAGTAAAAAAAACCCAGTAGGTCTGCAGACCGATCCGTTAGCTAGAAAATAGTCATAGCTAAAAACCTGCAGGCCGATGCATTATCTAAGAATAAGCATTAATAAAAAGTTACAAATCTTAAGGTGTTTTCTGAATTAATTGGTTCCAAGTATTTTAAGTATAGCAGAGTAACTAAAAAAACTATTAAAACAAATGACCATTATGCCAACTTTTTTCTTCTTTATTTAAAATCAATTTTAATCACAATAAACCTTTTAAGAATTTGAAACCTTGAACCCCTGATGAAAGGATTTTTTTCTTTTTTAAACTGCTTAAATTTAGAAAACGCACTGTTAAAAAAAAACTAAGAACTTAAAAGAACAATCTATATATAAACTACCTAGATTCTTTAAAAAATCTCAACATTTTTTGTAGTATACAGGGATGAACAGAAAACTCTGAAATAGGAAGACGACTTATAGGCTCAAGTTATGACTTCAAATAGTCATGGGACTAAGTAATTGTGCAGTGTAAACAGACCAATTTCAGATAATAAGTGAATTATCAAGTGTTTAGTAAGACTATTTGCTCTAACAACATCAAATACACTTCAGTATATAAAGTCATCGTCATATTTCAGAGTTTTCTGGTTATTACTGTATAACTAATTTTTAGTGTTAAATTCATAGATTAATTAACAATAACAGATAGAACACTGGATGTCGTCTCTTCAAGATTTAGGGGTTTTTCGTTTACAATAACCCTGAGCAGAAGTCAAAAGGAATTACGCGCATGCTCCAGAGAGAGAGCCTGTTCTACGCAGCATTGCAAAAAAACCCTCCATCTTGAAAAGATGACATCTAGTGTTTTATCTGCTATTGTTAATTAATCTATGATTAAATTCAACTAAACACTTGTCGAATATCTATGATAGGTATTTTGAACTGTATTCTAGGTGTTAGAAATGTTTAACATCTTCTTAGTCTGATTTCTAACAGCTTACTCAAGATGAAAATTCATTTCTTTCCACGTTGAGATTAATTCCCTAGATTTGATTAATTCCCTAGATTTGATTAATTCCCTAGATTTGATTAATCCCCTAGATTTGATCTAGATTTGATTGATTGATCTAGATTTGATCAACTTTTAGAACTTTCTCGATTCAAATATTCATTCTGGTCTAGAGATATACACAGATATGTTTGTAAACAAAATACACAGGTTGTACTGCATGCAGTACACTATACATTGTGCAGGACTATAATTAAAAAATAATATATGTATAATGTATTACTCTTTCTTCAAATTTTGCTCTCGAAAGTAACTGAGTTTTTACTAGAAACACAAATTGTCTTTGTAACCTGATGGAGCAAACCTTTGATATTTCAAACTACGAATATATTTAATGGAACTCATAATTTGAATTATCTTTGGTCTAAGACTTTGGGTTGCAAAGATATAGGGATTGGAAAATCGGTTGCAAAAACCCAGTTCCTGTCTTCATGTCTGCTAAATGTAAATTTTTGGTGCAAACCTAACCAACATTTTTCTTACAAAATCAACCGTTTTTTTATCTTTTTATTTCCTGATCAAGTTTTTATAAATGTTTTCTCGTTACTCTGAAGTCGAATCCAAATCTGCAAACTTTTGCCAACTTTAAACATTTATTTACCGGGCCTCAACTGTAAATGTCGATATGGCAGGCGGGAATATAATTATACTGCACCATTGATGTATTCATAGATAAAATACTGTATTGTACTGAACTGTACTGTACTGTATAGTACAGTACTGTACTGTACTGTACTGTACATTACAGTACTGTACAGCTCGCTAACAATAAACAAATTGTTGTAACTCTGTAAAATCATATTAATATATTGTATTAATTGATTACACTTTAAAATGTCACAAAAATTTTTATTTTCTAGAATTTTTAGTTATTTTTTAACCCCTTTCTACTTCGTAAGTTGATTTAACAAATTCTTAGATGTACATTAGTACGGTGAATGTTGTACAACATGTACCGTTAAAAAGACAAAGAAATACGAAAAATAATGAAGATATTAAATTTTTTGACATTTTGCATTATTATTGTATTTCTAGCTACAGCTGATCGATCTCCCTGTACAAATATACCTTTAGGGTCTTTCTGGACTTACAGGAACATTTTATTCATCCTTGCATTTTTTTTGGTAAAAATATAAATTCTTCACCAATGGCCTTTCTTTGATTTTTTAAGGAGAAAGAGAGAGACAAAATTGAAAGACCAATGCCGAAATCAAGGTAGTTAAGGCTATAAGAGAATTTTGTGCAGAGCGTCCCATATCATATTAGATTATCTCCAATCTTCAACGCCAAAATACGCACATAATACGCGAATTTCTTGCAATTTCTGCAAAAAAAAAAAATTTATTAGCCTTATTAAATTTCTCAAATTGAATTATTCTTCTTAAACTTTCTGATTTGTCCCCCAAATCGTGACGCGGTCTAATTTGATGTGGGACACCCTGTACAATCAAGGTTATAACCTTGTATACATTGAACTCATTTTCGGTGGCTGTACAATTGTATATTGGATGTTTGTAAACAAACGCAACCTAAACTTGAAATTAAAACCCAGTATTGAAACCATATTTGCATTCCATAGTTATATAGGAATCTACGAAATAAAGTTTGGCGGGAACAGTTATATAGCTACTCGTATAATGGAGCGAGGTAAATTATTTCATAATTTCAAAATGTTTATCAAAAACCCTCTCCTCCTCCCAACCCTCTCTTAAAGTAAAAAAAAATTCTCTTATGGCCCAACACGTTGGCCGAAATTAACATTTTAAACAATAATTTTGTTGTCAAGAATTTAGTAATTTGTCCCAGTAAGAGTCGGGGAGAAAAAGTTTGAAAAAGTTTGAAATGAAAACACCAGAAAAAATGTATAGATCCTTGAAACCTTTTTATGGACTATATTCACTAAAATCCTTCATAAGAGAATTGAACAAAAGTCGTCTTCAATTGATTCGTTTTTATCAGTGTAAAAATATGAAAATATTTTTAATGTTTGATGTTTGACAAATGTTAAAAGGGACTGTAGGCACAATTTCAAGTTAGGTTTATATTTGTAGGATGGCATACCGAATACAACTGTACACTGGAAAGACCGGTTCATTTCAAGAACCTGGCCGATTTTTAACCTGCTAAAGCAAGCTGTACGGTACACATTCAGACAACATATAAGGCAAAACCGGACAGTACGCCAAATAAACATCTAGTGAAATTTATGTGGGTTAACCCTTTTAAATCATTTTCCGATCAAGGAGGACTGATATACAACTGAGATGTGTCGGATTCTCATCTTCATATCTTTGTTATCATTATCTATTATTGAAATAAAGAAGCTATAAATGCACTTCTACTTCTATTTCTTCTCTCAGTGCAACCTTATGACGTAAACCTTTGATATTTCAAATTATAGTATCCGGATAGAGCTAATAGTCAAAGTTTGAATTATCAAAGGTTTACACCACCAGGTTGGAAAGATATAAGGGATAAGAATTTTGAATTTTTACGGATTATTTAAGTCCCAATAAGTCCAGTTTAAAGGAATTGCGACTTAGCAACAAACTAAAATTTTAGAATTCCTGTATTTTAGTTAGAAATACATAAGGTCGACAGCATTATGTTGCAAGATATAGGGATTTAAAGAGTAAGAGTTTGTGGCAAAAACTCAACTCCTTTAGAAACACTATTGAGTACAGTTCAAACTGTATTTGTGTATATATATATGTATATATACATATCTTGTACGTTCAAAGAATATTGACTTCTAAGGACCGTCTGAGACGTGAAATTTTATGTTTAGTATAATTCTTTTTTAATAAAATGTGAAGTTAAAAAACTAAAATATACATATCTATATAATTTCATCATTTTATATTTTGAGTGTACAAAGTACTGGCTTTATAAACTAATCGATATAAACTTCATTGTTTAGAAAGATCTAAAATATGACTTAGTAGAGCTGAAATGATATTTTTCATGAAAACTATACCTTTCGTTATTAAATCGACCAAAAATAACATGTTCAATTTTAAGTAATGGAAAGTATATTTAATAATAATTAATATTTTCCTTTTTCAATTTAATTGTCACTCAAAATGTATAATTTCATTACATTTTTTCTTTTAGTATTATGTTACTAAAAGAGAAAGTTGATCGTCAAGTCTCTAAAAATTAAAACCTCCAAGGGCTGAAGTCGTAACTTCAAGTAATCGTCTATTTATAGAGTAGTATGTTCGATTCACAGCTCTGTCTGATCATGATTGACATTCATGATTTCTCTCTCAAAATAGATTAGATTAAACCCTGCTCTCTCTCTGACTTGCCGAATTCTTACTTCATAAATAATTGAAAAATTGTCGGAAACAATTTACAAACTAGAAAAAAAACGATATCTTCCACAATAATTGTAAGATCAAGGTTTCAAGGCTACCGGTTGAATCGGCCTTAAATAAAAGGTCATTTGAATTTAAACTGACCTTTCAAATTAGGAGATTCAAAGTCTAGTGATTAAATTGTATCTTAACATTTTTTTATAGATAATTCATTTTTTTATTATTTTAATTATTTTATTTTACACTTTTAATAGAACTGAAAATCAGATGATTTATTTCTATTTCTGAAGAATAAACTGAATGAATAACATGGATTGACTCGACATAATGTGCTCACATAAAGTAGGGTCTGGAGATAGTCAGCTGTCCTGGCATACCGGGTCGAATACTCACTCCCATCGGAGATCTCATTCCCATCCCAGGTCTCATTCCCATTCCCATACCAGGCATAACAAATCCCATGCCGGGTCCCATCCCAACCGCCGAGTTAGATAAGTTCATCGTGTTCATCGCCATTGAGTTAGTTTGGCGGGTTAATGAGTTGAGTAGAGCGGAGGATGAGACGGCATGGATGGGTTTCTGCTCCGGGATAACTTCATGAGCCTGGGACTCCTCCTCCTGGTTAGACTGGGAGCAGGTTGCCATATGAGCAGGCCAGTGGGCTTGCTGACACGGATAGTCGCAGTAGGACGTGTTCCAGCAGCAATAGAAGATAGCTTCCTTCCCACAGTGTGAGCACCACTGCTTTTTCTTTGTCTCCAGGATTGCTTTCTGTCGCTCCATCTCCGCTTGCTTCTTAAACTCCTCGATAGTTCTCTGGGAGTCCTTGGCCATGTTAGTTTTCATATCCTTGAGCATTATATCAATTCCTTGTTTCACTTCGGCCAGCTCTTGCTGGTGCCGCCATTGCATCTTCTCCAGTTCTAACTGAAGACCCTTGATAGTGGCCTCCTGGCTACCCTGAGCAGAGAGTTCACGGAGAACCTCTTCAATACCGTGTCTCATATACTCAGCTATACCGGATGCAACAACATTAAGTTGCTCAGATACACTTCCGGTTGCTAGAGGGAGACTGGAGCGACCGTTAGGACGAGATTGAAGACCAGGAGGACCGTGTCCGGGTTGAGAGATCAGAGGTCTGTGTAGACCTATGCCCGGAGGAGAGCTCAGCATAGGTTTGGAATTGGTAAACGTGGTTTTGGATTGAGCTGCGGGAGAGCTGATCGAGGGAGATTTTGTAATTCTAGACACTGAGATGGCATCTGAAACTCCGTTAGCGAGCATGTTGGCACTACCAGATTTAGTTTCACTTTTTTTAGGATCCAAGAGTTCACTTTGACTTTTTAAACTGAGAGTAAACTTGTTTTGGGTTTCAGGTGCTCCCTTGCTTATCATGGTTACACTGATATTAGGTCCGACCTCTAGTGGGTTGGTTTGTTCCTGCTTCTCCGGTTCACTCTCCTTCTCCTCACCATCATTATCCGTTCCACCATTCTCCTCTTTCCTCTTCTTAATCAGTGATATACTGATACCACTGGCCTTCAGCTTGTTAGCTGTTTGGTCCATTTCCTCCTCCTTCGGTTCATCTTGATCCTCCTCATTCGGAGCATTTGTCTCCGACTCCGGAGTGGGGTTGGTTGGTTTAGGATCTATTATCTGGCTTATAGTCTCCTCTGGAATATAAACTGATCCGGAATCTAGTTTCTCCGGAGAGGACGATGAGACCTCACACTGGGACATGTTAACAGTAGGATTTGGAGATTCTGAACCAATTCTTGGTTTTTTGACACTTTCTTCCGTCTCCGCTTCTAGTTTTCTCTTCGTTGTCCCATTTTCTTTTAACGTATCTACCTTTGCAAGAGAACCCTCTTCTACAACAGGTTCTGTGATTGCATCAAGCTGACCCACTAAAGCTGGTTCTGTACTTGCAACCAAACCTGCTGAGTCTGCGTTTAGGTTTGGTTCTGATGCCATTCCTGCTTTTATAGCAGGTTCAGAATCAAGAGCAGGTTCAATATTTTCACCGGGTTCATAAATCTGCTCTGGCTCTGAAACACAACCCGGAGCAGGATCTGAATTTATTCCTGTATCCAAGACAGGTTGTACTACTGGATCAGGTTCGGTAGTTGGAGCAGGTTCGGAGCAGAGACTAGGTGAGAATTCTTCCAGGAGGTTGTCGGAGACAAATCCCAGTATCTCCGACCCTTCATCCATAATTAGGAAACACTGAAATAAAAAAATAGATTAAACAGGCAAACAGGCAAACAGGCAAACAGGCAAACAGGCGGGACTTTTACTCTTTATTTGAATATTGCCATTAAAGATTGATTTCGATATCATCTGTATCGTCAATGATGGAGATATTATCGTTTTCTTAAAATACCAATTATGGTGAAATAAAGTACTTTAAATGAGAAATTACCTAAAATTGCAATCCACTAAAAATATATTTAATTGTCTAGCTCAAAAATACAAAAAATTAATCAAGCTGTAGTCTAAATTTTTTAGCGCTCAAAAATGTTATTTTGCTTATAATATAAAAATGTATAATTTAAAATTTTTTTTTAAATCCTGGAATTGCTAAACACAATTTTCTAAATTTGAAATAAATTAATCCCAACCCGCGGCTCAATTCGCTCAGATCGAATGAGCCCATTTTTAAGCCTAAGGACATTTTCATGGCTTTAGATAGATAGATACAGTTTCTATAATAATATTTTATATTATTTATATTACATTTTTCAAATAATCAGGGGCGGATACAGGATTTAAGTGAGGGGGGCAAGATTTGTTAGGAAAAAATGTTTTTAGACTTAAAAGACTCAAAAAGAGTCAAAATTAATGACTAAGACTAAAAAACTAGATTTTTAACTTTTCACACATTATAGTTTATTAAGACAGATATTTTTCCTGTTTTGCACTAGGGGTTTTTTTCCCTTAAGCATGCTATTGAGAAGGTATTCTGAAAATAGGAACAACAAATTCCAAATTCAGGGGGGGACCCCCCATCCTATTTAGCCCTTTTCCCAATCTCTGCGGCAATGTAAAGATTAGGAGTTAAATTGGAGAATTGGAGTGTAAAAGTATAATCCTGAAAATATTCCCCTCTCCATCCTTTCTCAATAATAATTCTACAATGTTATAGATTTGATTCTTAAACAACATTTATCCAATAGAATTACTTCATTTTGTAATTGTTATAAATATAATAAATATATCTTAGCCAAAAATCAAATCAACCATTTAAGAAGATGATTAAATGTTATCATGTTTTTGACTCATGCAAGGATTCATTGACAACAAAAATAAAATCCATGATTGGAATTAAACTATAGTATTAATGTGTTTCTACCAACCTGTGAGTAAGCTTGTAATGTTTGAACACCAAGGGGGGGGGGGATTGTATTTTCTAACTATGTGCCTTGTGTTCCACCTGCGGGACCGGACAGAGTGTGACTACTCCGGACTCCCCCATTGGCGGCTGTCCCGCCTGCCCAGGGTACGGTCCGGGCTGCCAGACTGTCGGGCGGCACAGTCTGGTCGCCCGGCCTCCCCCCTCCCCTCACTTCCCCTACTCCCCACTCACCCATCCCGAAAATCTACGAACGAGGACTGAGGGAACCATGGAGTGTGGACTTATTTTGTTATTTGCCAAGACCAAGAGAGTCCTTGGACTGATAGGAGTTGGACTGAAATCGGACTGGTAGATGGAAATGTACTTCACATAGGCGAATGTACTCCCATGCCAGGAAAAAAAATTTACTCCAATTGCATTTTTTAAGGAAATACATGCACAGAAATAAAATCAGAATTCCTGGATTCTAGCTACGCAGTCAGCAGTGTGCAAAAACGTGCAGAATTCATGTTTGATGAATTTGCACTTAAACTTACATTTTACATAAGCATTAAGCTGAATTTTGCATTTAGCAATAGACAAAAGCAAGCATTTTACGCATGTTGTACTTTAGCAATGAACTCTGAAGGTATCAATAGATTTGATAAATTGTTCAAAACAATTAAACAATAAAAGATTTTTCATTCTAATAATATTAATAATAATTAATATTATTACTTTTATTATTACTTTTATTATTTTTTTTGATTGAGTTTCACAAGCATGCCTCTCTGTTCTCGGCTTCCTCGGATAACTTTTTAGATCAAAAACCTTTCCCATCAAACCATGTTAGATCTACAACTGCAGCTATCTTCCATGCAGACTGGAATTGAGAATACTTTGATATTTAGCACGCTGCACAATTTATAGTTTATAAATTTTGACGCAGCAATTATAGACTAGATTGAACTAATGAGCTGCGGCAATTATAGACTAAATTGAACTAATGAGCTGCGGTAAATATTTAAAAAAAAAATGTTTTCTCTCACCCAGTGCGGATCAAGAAAACTTGGACGGAATAAGTGATTATTTAGCATATATTCGCATTGTATGTTTTCAAATTTAAAGGTTATACCTTAAAAATTCACTGAAGCAAATTTATTTGACGAGATATTTAGATATTCTGAGACCGAATTTACTGAATTTGAACTGTCTACCACCGGTTCAAATTTGAGTCACCGATTCAAATCTTTAAATTTGAATCGGTGATTCAGAACCGTCAGTTAGTAGTTCAGCGCCGTAGCTCAAATTCATTAATTTCGGTCCCTGACCAACTATAAACAACCTCTGCGGCCATGTTAGGTCCCACACTTTCACCTAAAGCTCGGGCCCATTCGGTTCAGAAGTTTCAACGTTCCGGAGAGCAAACGAACCGATCAAGAAACAAAGACAGATATAAAGACAGATCACGAGACGAATTTGCGAGATAAAAAACTTGAATACAATTGTAAAGATTAAATAGTTAGAACGGTTTAAAGAGTGAGGGCGAATTTGAGAGAAAAAAAGGTTTAAGAAGATGTGAGATTAATTAAATAGAACGGTTTTCCAGCAGGTTCGAAACTGGGTGCTTTTTTAGGGGGGGGGGAAGCACCGAGTGAAACGAAGAGAACGAGGAGGGGGGTGGCAGGGGGGCAGAGGCCCCCTACATAGAAAATTTTTGATTTTCTGTCTGGAAAACTAATTTTTTTACTTTAAATTCGTGAAGTGTTACAATCTTTTTCATTGCTTAATTTCATATCATTGAACTGTCATCACTCATCAACACAGCATTTTGAATGAACAATAATATCTGGAAACAAATTATTTTTTATTTATATAATATAATACATATATGTAAGAAACTAAAAAAACTATTTTAAAATTTGCAAAATGAATTAGGGCAGATATTGTTAAATAATTAAACAAATGAAATACAGTAATAACTCTGGAATAGGAAGTTGACTTTTAGACTCAAGTTAATAGTTCACACTGCTGACAATTGGACCATCAGGTTTCAAGTTAAAATACATTAAACTTTTTCTTTGGAATATATTAATATGCAGTCTACTGAATTATAATCTCAATTTTCAGGAATATTGAGTAAATCCATTTTTAAGATATTGCAGTAGAAAACAAGTGTGCATTTTCTGATCAAAAAACAAATATATCTTTAGTTTTAAGATTTGATTAAGCTGATTTTAGTTTTTTTGCGATATTTTTTTGAATTGTTAATGGCAGGGTCTCCAAATTTTGTGAGTTGTCTTAAGACACGTTTTAGCAAAAATTCAAAGCCATTTGTGAACTTTATCACTGTTTAAGAACTGCCTATAAAAGGGTTTTTAAAGTGGAATCCTTTAAAATCACATCAAAAAGACTTTTTCATGCCGTATCTAGTCAGCCAGGCAGTTGATTTTTTACTACAATATGTCTTTTTACTGTGCATGAAAAGTTACAAAAATTGGGACCCTGCCGTAAACATTTCAAAAAATATTGAAAAAAACCAGAAGAAGCATAACAAAGTCTTCAAACGAAATTTACGTTTTATTTTAGACCTGTAAATGCACTTGATTTCTGAGATATCTTTAAAATGGATTTTAGGAAAGTTCCCTTGGTGGCATTTTATGAAAATTGAGATTGTAACTCAGACTGCATATTAAAATCTTCTGAAGAAAAAGTTTTTGTGTTTTGACTTGAAACCTGATGGTCCATTAACAGCAGTGTGAGTTATAATAGTTTTCGATTTCCAACATGGGGGGGCGTCCCCATGTTGGAAATCGAAATAATGACGACGAAAATTGTATCAAAAATTCTACAGTAAACTAACTAGATGTTTAGGAACAAATTTATCAATAGAAATTTGTCAATAAATCAATATTAGAATCAATTATTTCTTTTTCATCATTAAATTGAATTTCTTATTCGTTATGAATTTGTTCGCAGATTTCTACAAATTCTTAAAAAGTTGTCTTTTCAATAAAATTCCAGAAAATCTACATAAAATGTCTTTTGAACAATGAGAGATTACAGAAACTAATAGCTGAAGATTACTTATTTTCGCTGATAAGAGTTAATTTTTATTTTCTCAACCTGTTCCTAGACATCTAATTACTTTACTGTCGAATTTTTATTACTTTTTTGTCGTCGTTATTTAATGATTTTTAAAAAATCGAACCTCAAAACGTAACCAACCAATGCAAATGGATAATTTTGAAAGTCGACTTTGCAATCAAACTCAGTAATTATACATCATTAAAACGTTTTATATTTAAAAATTCCTCCACAATACTACAGTTTCAGTTCAACTACCATACATTGCCGGTGTCACGTTAAATAAGGCCCGGGCTTTATATTTGGTCCGGTGAGTGTTACATGTGAAATCCATGTACAAAATTGATAGGAGGGGGGCGGGTGAAAAAATCGTATATTAGGAAATTACCGCTGGTTATGTACAAAATTGATAGAACAGGGGGGGGGGGGGGTCCAAAAATTGTTTTCTTTGACGGACCCAAAGCATGCACATTATCATTGTTTATTGAAATTGTTACAATTTTTTGTTTGTTAGGCCATAAAATTAAAAAATAGAAGCACACACTTTATGCACATTATTTAGGCATGTTTTCCACTCTTTTGCAGACTAAAATTTTAGATGTGTTTGTTTTATATACTATATTGTCTTTGCTTAGGTCGTCTTTGTATTGCACCCGGGTCAAATATTACCCCGGTCTGGATGTAACGCTACACCGGTCACTCACTTTAAGAAGATGTCAAATTAATAGAATGGTTTAAGGAGCTATAGGAAGGAGCCATATTTAATAAATAGAACGGTTGAAGTGTAGCTAGGAAGGATTTTAGA